ACCCAGACCACTTCAATGATCTGAAGTGGTCTGGGTGCCTACAGTGTCCCTTTAAGTTTGGGGATTGGATATAGCCACAGAATGGATGGTGGCAGCAGTGAGACTGGCGCAGAAAGAGGTTAAGAGTAAGTAAATCTCTCCTATTCTTCTCATAAACGGGGTCTCATTTTTCTAAAACGCTAAGAAGAAACTGTAACTTTAGAAATACGAATGCTTCAGGTTAAACTTGTGCTTTATTTAGGTAAGCCTACCACTGAGAAGGTGTAAAACTGATGTGGAATCAATTAATAAATTGATTATCTTGCGTATCTGCCCCCGGCCAAATTAAAGAAGTTATGCGTGCAAGCTCCTAAAGTAATTCACACCAGACACAGGTTTCGGGTTAATGAAAAACTTGAGGAATGTTTATTCTGAGGGGACGGCATGTCCCTTATAAACCAAAATTACATCATATGCCTTGTCAAAGATAACATGGAATAATACATCAATAATTCGTTAGGTGTTAAGTGGTTAATTTATTGCTCTTCCTACCGGGTGTGATGTCACTGATATCTTGGACGTCTCCCCCAGATTCCAGCGCCATCTTGTTAATGAGGGTGTTGGTCGATGTCAGAGGGAAACTCCTTAGCGGCCATTTTAGGTAAATCGGGTATAAGGTTGAATAATGCTGATTGTGGTTATGTTGAGTAAATAGACATTTTACTAATATAAATTGGGTTAATATTTTGTCCACAACAAAAACACATACAGAGAAAGACCATGTTACTTGCATTGCCTGATGGCTTATTAAAGGAGCACTCCACACTTCCAAACCCCCCTTACAGTTAAGTAGATATACCCCCAATGAATACATGCATGAATTTGTTTATCTATGTATTCATTGGGAGTAAAGTCTCAAAGAGCTTACTAAGACTATAGTTCTTATGACTGCATCCTTTGTAAGCCCTCTCCTTTTTTCCCGGTATTGACTTTCAGTCTCTTCACAGGGAAATAACCAATCATAGGCTTCCTCATTCAGCAGCCTCTGTGTTGGTCTCTACGTGCATGTGCAGGTTGGCTCTTGGACGTGCATGCATGTGTGCTCCGGTATTGATTTAATTTTTTTTAGGGCAGTTATGGCAGTAGTAAATTTTATGTCACATACCCAACATCACAAGAGGTTTGCAAAAGGATTAGAATTCACATTTTGGTTCTGGGGACCTGAGGCTTCCATATAGTGAGTCGCCCTTGAGAAAGGCAGAAGATTTTTATTGTGTGGTTTATGGGTTTATACTGTTTGTATTTGCTGTGGTTTATATCAGAACTGTCTCTTTTTTACCTTTTTAGTGGATTGTATTTTGTATTTTCTTTAATCAAGTATAATAAATGTAATATTTATAGACTTGTATGTGAGTCGGTGAGTGCATCTCCTTAATTTGCTACTCATGGTAATGATGGTAAATATACTGTTTTCATTATCCAGTGGGATGCAATTTTATATAATAGATTGCAATAACTGATTGACAGCTTGTGCCTTTTAGATTACAGCTATTAAAGCCATATTTCTTTTCAACAGATGGGTCAGTGAGCAGAGATGTACCAGGTGCAAATCACAAACCTATTCCAACAGTAAATTTTGGAAAGAAATCTGAACGAGAGAATAAGGCCAATCACATCAAGACATATCTGAATATAAATAAGCCAATTAAGACCCAGATAAACGCCAAAACTTGTAAAGAGAAATCAGTAATGTGTGCAGAAGGAACATTAACAAACTATTACACACCTACAGAACATACACAGACAGGATACAGATCTTTCTATGTAAAGGAGGAACCAGCCTCACGAGAAAATGTCACAAACCCTGAGATTTCAAGATCCACAGAACTTCCACAGGTAGAATATACATTTACTTGTATTGAGAAGGGGTTAGTTGCATGTGAACAGGGGAACCCCGTCAATATAGACCATTATTTACCTACAGAACAAATACAGACAGAATATTCATCTAGTCAAATAAAGGAGGAACCAGCCTTACATGGAGTGAGTAATCTTACAGATATTGACTTCTATTTATCCACTGACCATTTACAGACAGAATGTGCATCTTCTGAAAGCAAGGAGGTATTAGTGTCCCAGAAGGGTGGGATCCTCAAAGACATTGATATGTATCCACCTACATATCAAACCAACTCACATCTTACATCGTATAATATAAAACATAATTTGGCGTCATGTAAAGAAAAGGTTCACAAACAGAAGAAACTAAATTGTTTTGATTGTGGGAAAACATTTCCATATAAATCAATGCTTGTAATTCATCAGAGAGTTCATACAGAAGAAAAACCATACACTTGCCCTGTATGTGGAAAATGTTTTAGCCGGAAATCCCATCTTGTTACTCATCAGAAGATCCATACAGGAGAAAAACCATACAGTTGCCCTGAATGTGGAAAAGGTTTTAACCAGGAAGCAAATCTTATTGCTCATCAGAGAATTCACACAGGAGAGAAACCATTTTGTTGTTCTGATTGTGGAAGGTGCTTTAGCCGAAAGATATATCTTAATACACATCAGAGGACTCACACAGGAGAGAAACCATTTTCCTGTTCTGAATGTGGCAAGTGCTTTAGTCAGAAGTCAGCTCTGAATACACATGCCAGGACTCACACAGGACAGAAGAAATGTTCTTGCCCTGAATGTGGGAAATGTTTTAGTCAGAAGTCTTATCTTAATGTACATCAGAGGATTCACATAGGGCAAAAATCATTTTCTTTTTCTAACTGAGAAAGAGACGTTGGCGTAACCTCTTAACACCAAAGGACTCACATTTCTCCTAGGCTGAAGCCTTCCTTGCCTAACTTTCCAAAGCCTTCCTTGTTATAAACTTAAATAGACTCTTTAAAAGTCTACATGCGGTTTCTATAAACCGAACCTCCAAAGTATTTCTTAAATGTTAGAGCATTGTAAACATTTAAATGCCTCATGGCCTAATTTAATGGACAAATAAAACAGAAGGTTCCTTATTCATTCTTTTCTTTCTTAAAGAGATTTTCTCAGCACCAAAACCACTTTATCTAAATAAAGATGTTGTAATGTATAAACCCAGTCCCAAAAGTCAGCGATGTAAAGTGTTGCCTTGGCAAAAAATGACAATATTGCCTTTATAACACACCTCTACAGACTGATAGACACTAGATGCACTTCATAAAGAAAACCATTTGATTTTCAAAGGTCATACAGCATAACAAATACTGTTAATGGTTCTCATAGAGAAGCGCTGGATTCCTCATCACTCTATGTGACACATCTGATTGAGAGGCAGAAGTAGCGATTGCCATGCATGCACCATAGATCCCTAGTACTTTTGAGAAAAATTGGATTGGACCAAAAACAAACGTCCGAATGATATCAGAAGAGGGAGAGCAGCTTTCTTGCAGAGTCTGTGTGGGATTACAGTTGAGATTATATACGGGGTGGCCCAAAAGTAGGTATACAGTTGAATCAATAAAAGTCATCACAACAGATTATATGGGTACACATACACACTGACACACAACAAAGTGTCCGTTAAATTTTAGGCATTTAAATATCAGTGTGGCGGTTGGAAAGAATAGTGGTGAGCTTATAAAATAATTTAGAACTTATAATGCAAAGTTCCATATATTGTATACCAACGTTTTGGTCACCCTGTATATATATTTATTTTTAACCTTAGAGAGTTCATTCAAAATGTTACAAAATTCCTTTGTCAGTGTTGCATGGTTTTAGGCATTTTTAAGATCTACTTCCATGGTTGTATTTTACTGATCCATATCTAAACCAGGTGACGAATACAGTAATGAAGGTCTGTCAGGTTCTGAAGAAGTGTCAATTTAACCCCTTAAGGTCACAGCCTCAGAAGCTTGTCTTGCACTTAATGACACAAGCAATTTTTGCGTTTTTTGTTGTTGTTTGCGTTCAACTGAAATTTACGTTTTACTAATTTTTTGCACCAACACATATTATATACCGTTTTTTAAAGGACAAAAGGGCCTTTAATTTGATGTAACATATAGATACATAAAATGCTTATTTATTATTAAAACAAAAAATGCAAAAAAAGGGAAATTTTTTACAGTTTTTGCAATAATGTGTGCATAATTAGTGCAGGTTAAGGAAAGTAATTAAAAATTTACAGAATGTGTCTAGGATTCAAATATCTATTTTTTATTTTTTTGGGGTAGTCACAGGTCACAAAACACAAGTAGCAAAATAAACTTTTAATGTGGAGCGATTTTAGAATTTGGTATGTTTGTCTTGTAAGCTTAATAGCCATAAAAGAAAACAAAATTGCCACACAACAGTATATATTTATATAAAGTAGACATCACAGGCTATTTACTTAAGGTTGCTTTGACACTTTCTACGTAGCCATTTCCCCGCCAATCTCTGCTAAATATTGGAGTAAAATTTTGATTTTTTTTTGTTTTTTGACACAAACTTATAACCACGTTGCGTCACACTCAATGACGCGGCCTGGGGTCGTTGCCATGGAGACCTATACACAAATATAAAATGTAAATACCACACGGACTTAAAATATAAACACAGTGATTGAAACGGCAGGAGGACTGACTATATACATCAATATCCACTAAACACAATGATTAAACTGGGATCAATAATGCTTAAAGGACCACTATACTGTCAGGAAAACCTACTCGTTTTCCTGGCACTATAGTGCCCTGAGGGGCCCCCACCCTCAGGGTCCCCCTCCCACCGGCCTCTAGGGTGAGGAAGGGAAACTTACCTCTTTCTCCAGCGCCGGGCGGGGAGCTCTCCTCCTCCTTGGCTGAATGCGCATGCGCGGCAAGAGCCGCGCGCGCATTCAGCCAGTCTCATAGGAAAGCATTCACAATGCCTTCCTATGGACGCTGGCGTCTTCTCACTGTGAAAATCTCTGAAACTGTTAGGTTTATAGAAAAAAGGGTTATCCCTAGCTGGACCTGGCACCCAGACCACTTCATTAAGCTGAAGGGGTCTGGGTACCTATAGTGGTCCTTTAATCTCAATTAATGCTTACAATGTTTATGAAAATCAGAAAGCCAGGGTCCGAGGCTGGATCCACATAAACAATAGAGTATCAACTTACAACCAATTGTTGCCGAAGGTGTGCCGATCCTGGTTCTCCACATTAAACCACCAGAGGGCGTGCAGGGGAATTAAAACTCCTGCTATCCATCCAATGATCACATCATGCGCTCATCTTAGAGCCGAAACAGGACTAGTGGAGTGAGGGCTCTAGTACAAAACTGTAAACTGGGGGGTGGTAGCACTCATTCATAGAAAAAATTAAACATAGGAAAAATAAAACACCATACTGGGTATTGCTATCTAGTCAATGAAGGCATATTGCTATATTCTAATTCAAAAAAAGTATTCACTATACAATCATCTCTATATTAATAAGTGATGGATTGTGTAGAGACTGAGCCTAAATCTCAACAATCTGGAACCAAAGGATCCTCAAGACCAGGGGTTCTCAACCCAGTCCTCAGGACCCCCTACCAGTCCAGGATTTGGGGATTACCTGGGTGTGTCTCAGGTGTTTAGAAAAAGGGGGAAAAACACCTTAGACTCTAAGGTGTTTTTTTTTTCTTTTTCTAAACACCTTAGACACACCCAGGTAATCCCTAAACCCTGGACTGGTAGGGGGTCCTGAGGACTAACGTTGAGAACCCCTGCTCAAGAGACTTATATCCAAGTAATTGATATTAAAGGCCACTAGAGGGCATAACGTTCCAATTCTTGTTAAATCACTGAAGATATATTCCTATCATTCAGTACAAAATAGGGTTCACAATGCTTCCATACCCTCTATTTGTAAATCATCAATAATGTAGACCATGTCTTAACATCATAGGACTTTGGTCCTGACTACAAATTAAATTAAAGGTAGGAGGATTGTCAAAACAATTATAACTGGATGTTCAATATTGCTTTTCTGACCACTAGAGCACATACCTTATCCACCACAATAGGATTTACATTACTCTAATCCATCCTAAAAAAATCATCATAATTCCTCTGACCACGAGAGGACATACCGTGTCAGTCCAGATAGGACTCACCACTCCAATCTATCCCACATGGGAGGGATATCCTGTATATAGACTCTTGATCTAATTTAAACAAACACTGATCTAATAATAATTAAAGCCCAAAACTAAATGGGTAAAAACATCAGGAGTGGTAAATAATTGTCACAATAGGTAAATAGTTAAGGGTGGGCATCCGACCAACACACCACATGAGTGACCATAAACATGCACATGAACCGAGAGTCCATCATGACCACCAGTGTAAGAGAGTTCATGAAATGCATGCCTATCCCCCAGGGTGGGCATCGCATACCAGCTCACACATACACTTGTTCTAAAACTGCTGAGAGAGTATACTTCTCATTAAGGCCATCTGGATGTACTGTTCTTAAAGTTCTGATCCAGTACAATTCTCATTGAAGTAACATCTTCTTGCAGTCCCCTCCCCTTCTTGGTAATGGTATGTGGTCAATGGCCATTAATTTTAAAGTGGGTAGCATGTGTCCTTTTTCCAAAAAATGTTTTGCCACTGGGAGATCTTTAACCCCTTAAGGACCAAACTTCTGGAATAAAAGGGAATCATGACATGTCACACATGTCATGTGTCCTTAAGGGGTTAAAGGACCATCAATGGATTATGTCATGGAAATCCTTGTACTGGTCCTCACGCAGAACTATTTTCGATTTGAATTGGATTGGTACAGACAAACAGCAATCACATCAATGGGAGCTTCTACGGCTCCAATGTATGCCAACGGCTACACGTTCATATTTGAATCTCAACATATATTGGAGCCATTTAAAGATATCATTGTAGTATACGGTCGTTACATCGACGATATCTTTATGATTATCAGGGGATACACGGGTGTTGCAGAGGCTATGGTACAGAACCTCAATCAATGCACCCCAAATGTCGAATTGACAATGACAGTGGACTCGCTGACAGTAGACATCTTAGATGTACGAAGCTATAGAGAAGGTAACAAGCTGGCATATACACTGTATTCTAAACCAATTGACAGAAACACTATTACAGGCGAAAAGTGTATGTGTGTCTGTAAAAGAGTGTGTGTTTGTCAGTGAGAGTGTATGTGTGTCTGTAAAAGAGTGTGTTTGTCAGTGAGAGTGTATGTTTCTCAGTGAGAGTATGTGTGTATGTCAAAGAGTGTATGTGTCTGTCAAAGTGTGTGTCAGTGTGTATCTGTGTCAAGGTTTGTGTTTGTGTCACTGTGTGTGTGTATCTGAGTGTGTCAGTGTGTATCTGTGGGTGCAAGTGTGTGTATGTCACTGTGTGTATCTGAGTGTGTGTGTTTGTGAGTCAAGGTGTATCTGTGTGTCAGTGTGTGTGTATATCTGTGTGTCAGATACATATACACACTGGCATAGAGATACACACCCTGGCGCATACAAACACAGATATACACACCTTAACACACACCAGCACATGCAAACACAGATACATACATACACAGATACACACTGTATGTCAAGGTGTGTGTATATGTGTGCCACTATCTGCCAGTGCATGTATCTGTGTGTCAGATATACAACTGGCACATACAAACACACACCTTGACACGCACATAAAAAAACGGCACAATTGAGAAAAAAAAAATTTCGGGGGGAGGAGGGGGGACACTATGTCAAAGGGTTCCACTGGAAAAAATAATTGGGAAACCCTGGATTAGAGTAATGTAAGTCCTATTGTGGTGGATAAGGTATGCCCTCTGTAGCGGAGTAGAGGTATTATCCAAGGTAGCTCCACTGGTAGACAGGAACAGCAATCCAAGACAGGTACAAAACAGGTAGCGTAGTTACAATCCCTTCCCTCCAAGAACTAGACGACACATAGCTTGGAGGTCAACTGCCAGGTTTATTCACACATTTGCTTTTATGTCCTTTTCCCATGCAAGGGAGGTAACTTAACATATCCAATCACATCGTGGTTACCTCCTCTCCCTCTCCTCCCCTTAGATTAACAGTTAAGCTCATTAGTGGGAACAGAGTTTTCCCCCATTTCTGGATGTCCCCTAAATACAGGGGGTACGGTGACAAATGAGGGGTCCCCTGGTTGGTCTGGTCTGGGTGAGCAACATACTCAAATTTCACCCAGATCAGACCAGGGGTTCGGGAGTTACAGACATTCAAAGATTTGACCGACCGCAGGGATTTGGTAGCCGAAAACAGCTCCATGGATTCTGGCCCTGCGGTCGGTCTATTACACTGAACTGAAAGTACCGAATGTTCAGCCATCCGGCTCTAATCTTAGGTTCGGATGAATCCCCTAGTCTGGGGAATTCATCCTACCGAACGGCGGGCCGTTCGGCAGTTTGAATCGGGCAGTTCCGGGGTCCTGGAGGTCTGAGCGGTGTCTGGGTAGTCGAGCGCCCGGTTTTAGTTCCAGGCGCTCGACGACCAGACACCGCTGTTCGGCAGTTAAGATGGCCGCCGCCACGTGGGTTTTGTGCGAACGGCGGCCACCCACGAACCCAATTACCTCTCTGGCAACATTGTTTCCCTCTATACAGGGGAAGCACACGACCACAGCAGGGTGGTCGTGCATTCGGCACTTTCCAGCGGTTCGCATACCAGGTATTCAGCGATTATTAGGACAAATACAACGCAATAATAATGCAGGTACAGTCTCTTGTGGCTGCTTCTGCCACAATGCTCCCCCAGAACCAAGCCAGCATACACAGTCTGATCCCAACGGATCGGCTTGGGGATGTCTGGAGGAGTACTCACAGATCACTTGTCCAGTTCAGTTTGTCGAGATAACCCGTCGGCATTTCCATTGAGCTTCCCCGGGCGATATTGGATGGTGAAATCAAAGGGCTGTAGCGCTAAGCTCCAGCGCAGCAACCTGGCATTGTCCCCGGACACCCGGTTCAGCCAGACCAACGGGTTGTGATCTGTGAGTAGTGAGAATGTTTGCCCATACAAATAGGGCTGCAGTTTCTTGAGGGCCCACACCACGGCAAGGCATTCCTTTTCGATGGCGGCGTAGCTTACTTCTCTGGGTAAAAGTTTTCTGCTGAGGTAAGCTACCGGATGTTCACCGCCATCGGCTCCGATCTGGCTCAGTACTGCTCCCAATCCAAACATGGAAGCGTCTGTGTGGACGAGAAAACGTTTAGTTGGATCGGGAGCAGCTAACACAGGGGCATTAACAAGAGCATTTTTCAGGAGCTGGAACGCCTGTTCACACTCTGGGGCCCATACTACTAATTTCGGGAGGTTCTTGCGGGTTAAGTCGGTAAGGGGCTTGGCTAGGGCGCTGTAGTTAGGTACGAACTTTCGGTAATACCCTGCGGTCCCCAAAAAGGCTAGTACCTGGGTTTTAGTGTGGGGGGTTGGCCATTTAGCTACGGCCTCTATTTTGGCTGGCTCTGGTTTTTGGTGGCCGCTGCCCACTCGGTGTCCTAGGTATTGGACCTCGGCCATCCCCATGTGACATTTACTGGGCTTGAGGGTCAGTCCGGCTTCTCGGATGCGGTCTAGTACTGCCCCGATATGGTCCAGATGATCTGCCCAGGAATAACTAAAGATGGCTATGTCGTCTAAATAGGCACACGCGTACTCCTGAAACCCGTCTAATAATCGGTCCACCATCCTCTGGAATGTGGCCGGGGCGTTCTTCATCCCAAAGGGCATGACCCGAAATTGGTACAGGCCAAATGGGGTGGCGAAGGCCGATTTGGGAATAGCGTCCTCGGCTAGAGGAATTTGCCAATATCCCTTGCAAAGATCAATGGTGGTTAAGTATTTACCCCTAGCCATTTTGTCTAGTAACTCATCTATCCGGGGCATGGGATAGGCATCGGACACGGTTTTATCATTGAGTCTCCGGTAATCTACGCAGAAGCGGGTAGTTCCATCCCGTTTCGGCACGAGTACTACGGGGGATGCCCAGGGGCTATCCGAAGGCTCAATTACTCCTAACTGCAACATTTCTTTCAACTCTTTGTACATGTTCCCCCTCACCGCTTCAGGAATGCGGTAGGGCGGTTGGCGGAGCGGGGTCGAGTCTAGGGTTTCTACTCGATGGGTAGCTAGCGGGGTATATCCCGGGAGGTTGGAAAAAGTGGCTCCTTTTTCCCTAATTAGACTTTGGGCCTGAGCTCTTTCCTGAGGATCCAAGCGCTCCCCTAACTGTACAGCGGCTAGATCCTCCTGCAGAGTTCCTCGGGCCAGCATATCAGGGAGGGGTAGGTTATCTGCGTCCTCCGCAGC